AGACGAGCGCCCATTTCTGCTGGAGTGCAGGGGCGTTGCAAGATAAAGGACTTATCTAACGGGAAGTCCGCGGACACTAGTAGAGGCCTGCAGCAACATCCGGGGACTGCTAAGCTTTCTGGAGGAGCTGGGATGGCAGGACTGACGCCAATACCCACGCAAAATAGGCACTGGGTGTCGAGTTGCGGAAATAGCCCGCTTTACTACTAAGCCTGAGACTTACGTGGAAGTTTAGTACCGCAAACCGATCGTGCCAATCACTGGATCACTTATTTATACTAGTCTTTATATATATAATTCTTCTGTGAGTGTGTATGTCACTGAACTTCTCTTAAACGACTGAACCGATTTTGATGAAATTTTTTGTGTGTGTTCAAGGGGATCGGAGAATGGTTTAGATTCACAATTTTGTCCGCTGGACAATGTTTTTTTAATTTTTTTTTTTTATGGCGGTACGAAGTTCGCTGGGTCAGCTAGTAATATTATAAATTTGAAAGTTTGTGAGTTTGTTATTTGTTTATGTAGTTTGTGACCTGGATTGAGACATAGGATACTCAAATCTGAAGAAAATGTTACTAGGAAAAAATCCACGCGGACCAGCCAGCAGACGGGACTCGTACCCGCACCTTCCCCCCTTTGGGCGGATGTACTGACCATTATGCTACCGTGGCCCTAATGACCGTGTTGAATTTTCTCAAGTATTTCTTGGGCTGCAAGGCAGCGCCATCTCTTCGCATTGTAGGTAACCTACAATGTCAAAGGAATACCTTTACAAGTATTAATCTATGATATGCAACCTTGATAATATAACTGTTATTAATTGATTCAAATCATACTTTTTTTTTGGATCTACGTAAGCACTTTAAACGGATAACAATTTCATAATAGGTACTTATGTTATTTACGCGCCGTTTAGGATATTTTGTGAACAATATTAATCAATGTTTTTGTAGGGGGGTGTACTAAGTTTATGGTAAATACATAACTGTTTATTTTATTTCTTATATTTCGACGATATTTAAGTTTTTTAGGTAACTCAAAATTCATATACCTAAAGACGTTTTAATATGATATAACATCCTATTATAACTTTTATCCTAACTTTTATAATACATATATAAAAACCATTTTAAATATACTAGAATACGCTACAAATATATCTCTTAGTATGACACGCTAAATACCATTTATTTGGACTCCGAATCACATATTGTTATTAACCACATTCTTAATAATGTGGCTTTGACTGTTTGACTGTTCCATGTAACCGTATAATCTGTAACTAATGCGAACTTGCGGTCCTAATGAGGTTATTTAGAAATTACTCTACATTTTCACACAGTTAATAATGTTTAATATTTTCACGGGTGAAAATTGCAGTTTTTGATGTCACGTTAACTTACAAATAGAACCAAATAACTTGTTGCTAGAGGATATAGCAACGGCTAGAAGTGTCACTGAAATCGGTCTCAAACGGAAACATTCAGAGTCGTGTTTATTTTTTAAGTTTGATTGAAATTAAGGCATCTTCTCGTTCTTTAGAAAAGCATTAGTATAAGATTTTCATTAAACCTAATGTTTGTCAATGTGACATGCTGTTAGTTTTGACAAACATTTAGTTTGATGGCCGTTTCTGACGCCATGATCACGGAGTTACTCCGTGATCATTTTTTTTGAGTGTGTATGGCGTCACCGGATTTGGGGACGGCGAGATCCTAAGGGGACCTCAAGCCGAGAATTGGCGAGTGCCTTTAAGCATAGCTTCTGGTGTATCCGCTAATATATATTTAAAAATCCCTTGTACATTGCACCTTTTGCTTGCATTATCAGTGATGCAGATGTCACCAATAAAAAATGTAGCTATTGAGTATTTGTTTGTCCCACTAATGGTGCAAACGAAACCCCACCTACAAAAATACTCTCGTTTAGCTTGGTCCTTTACCTTTTACGGCTGGTTCCCACTTGTCGGGTGGCGGATCCGTATATTAATCGGATGTCGGCGCTTTTCTTCACACTTGTTGGTTGTTCGGTTGTCGGCCATAACTGTTAGCACTCTACGCGAGCCAACTGTGCACGATGGATGTCGACGAAGTTCTTGTTGTGATGTACCTAATATTATTTAAGAAAAAAAAGAAAGAGAGCCAAGGAAAGTAATATTGGGTCCACATAATCCTGAGGGAAAGATTGAGTTTGGGTACATTTCAGAACTTAATAACAGAATTGAGAAGTGACGAAATTGAGTGTTTCAATTATTTTAGGATGTCATTAACAACATCCAACGATCTACTGACTCAAATATTAGTGAACATAAACAACCAAAATATGAGACATATAAATAAATAAATAAAGTTAGAGACGGCATTTGTACTGAAGAAGGGTTGCGTTATGGACGGAACAGGGGGTAGCGGGAGAGGATAGTAAGCCCCGACACCCGACAAATATGAAAAGTGCCATTCTTAATCATACGCGAGCGAGATCCGACACGATTTTTTTCCGGTCGTAGAGGGCTGGCAAAACACCCGACACTTCTTGTCGGAGCCGACACAAAATCTGTTCCCGATAAGTGTGAATAGCTTCATATATAATGCTTTATAATAATAATAATAAAACGTTTATTTGGCACAAATTACAAAAATAACTTATTGTGTTACATAAAGGTTGTGTACCAAACAGGGCACTGCTCAGTATATGTCGAGGCAACATGTGCCACGACACTGATTTTCAGCAGCAGCATACTTAAATTAAATGACATTTAAGGTCATCGATAATAATTTAAATAAAAATTAAGAATAAAAGATTTAAATACAAATGTCAAATTACTGAAATCAATTGGATAAATATTGCGAAACAAAATGAAAGCCAAAAAAAAAAAATTAAATTAAAATTTACAGCGTATGAAATGGTGCTCAAAATCAACCATAGTGTTCTAGGTTCAGGTTAGTTCATTGCAACTTTTGCACATCTAATAAATATTTCCTGTATTTAACTTTAAAAGTGCAAACCGTTTTGGAGTTCCTTATTGGAGGAGGAATGTTATTCCAACATTTGGTCGCTGCATAACGAAAACTACCTCGAAACGCACTAGTTGTATGTGCGGGACACCTCATACGCTTTGACACTGGAACCTCCGATTAATATACGGATCCGATACCCGACAAGTCGGAACGAGCTCTTAAGCACGAACTTTGACAGATCCGTAATCGTATCGCCTTCGTCAAATTTTCTATGGAAGGAGTCAGTCGGTTCTTACGTCTGGTAGGGCACTGCTTAGTTTTCACAGACAATTCGATAATGCGATAGGATCTGTCAAAGTTTGTGCTTGGAGTACTACTCAAAACAAGAAATAAAGCATAGAAAGAGTTTAAATTCAACTCATACCCCCTTATTAATAAAGGAAGACTACGCTTGGATTAGTTACTCCATATTTTGTCTCTGCTAATGAATGACAAATGGCATTTGAGAGAAATAAACAAAAACGGAGTAGCTGGTCTAAGATTATTCCATGTTTATACTTAAAACTAAATTCAACATCACTCTCTCGTTTTCACTCTGTATGGTGAATGACAAGGATACACTGGTGCCGATTCTGGCGTGCTTCTCTAAACCTAAACTTAAATTTGACAACAGTGTATCCCTGTCATTCTCTACACAGATTGAAAAGGAGAGACGAGAGAGATCATGTCAGAATCGACACCACTGTTGGCAAATTTAAGTTAAGGTTTAAAGACTTCCTATGGATAATCCCTATGGAATAGGGAGATTAGCGTGCCTTCCGAAGCACGGAGGAACTCGAAATAGAAAATATTTTGGTCACCCGTTCAATGACCGACTACTGCGAAAGTTGCTTAACTTCAACGATCGCAGCCGAACGCGTTAGGTAAGTTATTTCATTCCACTTAACTCTAAAAACTCTGGCACTTCGCTCCACTTGGCTCAAAAAACAGTTACAATAGGTAAATATATTAATACCTGTAATAGTTTTGGAGTCAACGTGGAAACAACATATGGGTTGTATGTTCTAGTTTAAAAAACAATGGCTTTGAGGTTAAGTTTAATAAACCACAGACACAATCGACACCAAAGTCGAATTATATGGTTATCTTATTTTATATTGTGGTGATGGGGTGTGGCTGATTAAAGGGAGCAATGACGACGAGCGTTAAGTGTGGAATCAGCATTTTATTAACTTATCCTATATCTTATATACTATAGTAATATAAGTTATTTACGGGATTGTTACCATGTACCTTGTTTTTAGCGAGTTTCCGATATTTCGGCACTGTTGCAAGCGCCATGATCACGGAGTAACTGAAGTGATTGCGGGTAAATGTTATTGGCAGATATATCGGTCTACCCTCTGACGTCGTTTTATTACTGCTCTCGATACCCCCACCAATGGTCACATTCTCACTATTCACTCGCACCTGTTCCCGACAGATCTTGGAACGACACTTTTTTGATTTTTGCGGTTTTTGCACATACGAACCACTGGATGACACTTGACAATTTAAACTCATCCTCACGATTGAAATTTTTGTGTTTGGTTATTTCAATCGCTTCCCTGGCGCTTGCAACAGTGCCGAAATATCGGAGACTCATAAAAAACAATTATTATTGCATTATGTACATGGGGTAACAATCCCGTTAATAGCTATAATGTTAGTGACCATAAAGTTTAAAACAATAGACACAAATATATTATGTAGCTATGAACAACCACTATACAATCGTCAAATTGGATATCTTTGGCTTGTACACCTTGTTTACCTTTACGACACCAGCGCTACATACTAGACACACCACTAATACTTTTTGATTGAGTAATACGTATAGTCTATGCGGAGGTGTACGCTCAAACGTCATTGCAGTATTTCGATCCTTTATTTCTTGTTTTGAGTAGTACTATGTTCCTGTCGCTTCTAGTCGTCTATGCTCCGGTCTCCCGGCCCACGTACTCGGCGTGGTTATAAGCGCTGAGCGGCGGCGTTCGCGTGCAGTCGATCGCGAAACGAGACGACACAACTCCCGCCCCGCGCGAACATACGCGAGCTGCGTTTATGCAACCGAGTGTTAACCAAAACAAATAAGGTAAGGCAAGAAGATCAAACTTTATGTTGTGCTTCCGAGGGATTGTTGTTGAATGACAGGCGACGGTTCGTTTTGACAATGTGCTCCTGAAAAGGTTCACGTTCGAATTCTGCAGGAAACTTGTTATGAACTTTAAGAAAGAACTTTTTGAACGGATATGAAACCTTACTTTTTTATAATTCCTAATGATTTGGATCCTTTACAGGATTCTGAGCAGGAGTATTAAATAAATCGCCGTTTAAATTCGTCCAAAAATTGTTTCATATGAATCCTTCTTTACATCCGTTCAAAAATTATTTTAATAAATCATAGGTGTAGGTACGAGAGGATTAAATTACATTATTGTGAAGTGATAAAATTAAGTAACAATTTGAGCCCCATCCTAATTTATTTGATTTTGAATTTTCATTTGTTACCGTATTCAAAAATCAAGATCTAAGCGCAAAACGTCAAAATTTTAAACTAAAAATTTAAAACGGTACCTTTTCGTTGTTCAAAAATACAAACCAATTGCACTTATCAAGTGACATTTTATACCCTGATAAAGTTCTTAAAGTTATAGTTACAGTATAATGTTCTGTTCTGACTTCAAGTTCAGCGCGAATATGTATTTGAGGAAATAACTTCCACCTTCAACCATCATACGAAAGACAACGGTAAAATATTAGTGTCATTTATTGATATCTCTTAGAAGGTAAGGTTATAGAACTCCACGGGGTAGAGGATTGGGTTTAGGCCAATAAAGTGTAGTAAGGAGTGGTGGTTAACGCGTTCGGCTGCGATCGTTGAAGTTAAGCAACTTTCGCAGTGGTCGGTGTTTGGATGGGTGACCAAAAATCTTTTATCTCGAGTTCCTCCGTGCTTCGGAAGGCACTTTAAGCCGTCTGCATCTGCAGTCGTTAGCCCCCGCTAATCTGCACTGAGCCCGCGTGGTGGATCATGGCCCAATTTCCCTATTACATCCATAGGGAAGGCCTGTGCCGCAGCAGCGGTGACATTAATAGGCTGATGATGAGGTGGCTGGAGCGGCGGCACATTTTCTGCTATCGAGCATTTAAGTTACACTTAAATCACTTGGTGTGGAGTTATTTGTTACGTAAAGCGTTAAGAGTGAAAACTTTTAAACAGAGAAATAAAACCGATTTCATAAGGGCTAAAAAAGTAAGCAATAATAATTAATGTAATAACTAAATCCTTTCATTTAAACCAAAGCTCTTACGCGTAACATCAAAATAACCATTAAAAGAAAAAACATAATATTTTGGAGGCGGTGTCAATCCTGTCAATGGCTGCAAATGTTAATTCTACCTTAAATGTAGTGTAGATTTAAGTATAATAGAAGTCATCATCATCATTAGCCTATTAATGTCCCCCACTGCTGGGGCACAGGCCTTTTCTATGGATGGAACAGGGAGATTGGGCCATGGCCTACCACGCGGGCCCAGTGCGGATTGGCGGGTGTTAACGAATGCAGATGCTACCGGGACCAATGGCCGTGCTTTCCGAAGCAAGGAGAAGCTCGAGATAATAAATTTTTTGTCACCCATCCAATGACCGACCACTGCGAAAGTTGCTTAACTTCAATGATCGCAGCCGAACGCGCAAACCACTTGCGCCATCGAGCTCCGCCAAAATAGAAGTATTATTTATTAATTTTGAAAGTGGTATTCAGTGTTATTATTTAACACCGAATATTCTCTTCAATTCTTTACCAATTTTATATTACCAAAACTGGTTGAAACAAAAAATATATACTTATTATAAAAATCTTGAACTCCTGCGTGAATAACAATAAAAACAAATTATTATTAGTTTACAAATATATATAAACTAAAGATTTGGGAACCTCCTACTCTTTGAAGTCGTTTAAAATTGCAATTACCATTAAAGTGACAAAATACATAAATAATATTCTATTCGACCCCGACAAAAGTTTATTATTATAATTCAGATTATCTAATATTAGAAAATAAATGCAAAACCATCTCTCACGCTTTTACACCAGTAGGTAGCTAAACCAATTTTGATTAACTGTTCAACAATACAAAATAAATTTTGAGTTAAGTACCTAAAAAAATTAACTAGCAAATTCAGTCAAATTATATTTCCGCAACTTATTTAAATAAACCGCGTATTTTTTTTTTTTGAAAATTGTTCCCTATTCGTCTTCTTCTTCCGTCCCTGTTCCCGAAAATTGTTCCCTATTCTTCTTCTTCTTCCGTCCATGTTCCCGAAAATTGTTCCCCATTAATTGTGCAATTATGAAAACTTTTTTAATTTCAGTTGTCATAAATCAATTGAAATAAAACGACTGCGTTACTTTAAACGGATTAATATTGCATTTGTTCTTTACTAACGATCTGACTGATATGCGACTCCGTAAAGGACAGGTATTTTCATTATTATTATTTACTTGAAGCGTGGCTATCCACAACCGTGCGTTTTTGTCGAAATTTTTTACCACGTACGACAAAACTGTGGAATATATTGTCGCCAGCAGTGTTTCGGCATCGCATTTGTGATACTCCTGGTGTTGCAAGTGTCCATGGACGACGGTGATCACTTACCATCAGGCGAGCCGTCTGCTCGTATGCCACCTTTATCATAAAAAAAAAAAAACACCGATGACACTGCACTTTTATTTCATGGTTGTACATGGGAAGAAGCATACTCAAATGCTGAGGTTAAAAAGGATAATCAAGTGGCTGCGAATCAATTCTTTAACTCTTAACACCGATAAGACTAACAGTGCCGTCTTTGACCTATTGGAGGCCCTGGGCATATTAGGATAATGGGGCCCCTATGACTTCCGTTTGGTGATTTAACAGGAACTAGGGATTTTGTATTTGATCTGAGGGGGCCCCCTATCGATCGCGGGACCCTGGGCACTTGTCCGAAGTGCCCACTGGGAAAGACGGGTCTGAAGACTAAGTATATTGAGTTCTGTATTAAAAATGGGAAAAATTATGGGATATTTCCCAATCTCCCTGTTCCATCCATAGGGAAGGCCTGTGCCCCAGCAGTGGCGACATTAATAGGCTGATGATAATGATGAAGATAGGATATTTTGTAAATGTTATAAATCAATCAACATTTTTGTATGGGGCTGTAGCACGCTTAATGTTTATTACTGTTCTCATTGTTTTTATTTATACGATTTTTAAGTTTCTCAGATAACTCAAAATTCAAGGTGTATAAGAGGTGAAACTAAAATTTAAAGCGAGTGAAATTTAAGGACGGAATTTTGTATCTAAACTAATAATTATATGAGAACAAAGTTGCGGGCTTCAATTAATGTTCAAGAAATTCACACTTTATTTCTATCGTTAATTTTCTGAGGAAATATCGTTAAATTTGATACAATGTTAAAAAAATGTGTGGTTTACACCAAGGTATAATGATACATGTATTTAACAAATTTTATACAATATCTTATTTTTTTGTTCTCACAATACATGTTTAGTACATGCAATATACAATACTTGCATCAAACTTGTTGGATAAACAAAATATGTGAAGTAAATAAAGTGATTTATCCTTGTGATCCCCCGTTTCCACCAAGAGACAAGTCATATACTAGTTTTGAATAAAACTTATAGAATACTTGTAGTGGCTGTTTAAAACATTCATTCGTTGACACAGCATAGACAACTAGTATCTTACAAGTATAAATCACTTATTTACTTCACATGTTTTGTTTATCCAACAAGTTTTATGCAAGTATTGTATACTGCATGTTTTATACATGTATATGAGTGTGAACAGAAAATCAAGACATTGTATACAATTTGTTTTATACATGTATTATACCTTGGTGTTAACGAGGGTTTAGATACTGGTTGTCTATGCAGTGTAAAGGATTTTTTTAAACAGTTACAAGAAGTATTCTTTAAGTTTAGTGTAAAATTAATGATGTCGATTCTGGCATGATTCTCTAAAGCTAAACTTAAATTTGACAACAGTGTATCTTTGTCATTCTCTATACAGAATGAAAAGGACAGACTGATGTTAAATTTAGTTTTAAGTTTAGAGAATCCTGCCAGAATCTATACCAACGTATGACTTGTTTCTTGGTGTAAACGATTGGTTATGAAACCACGAAACTTGTTGAGTGTTTTACAAATTTTAAGTGATATAAAAAGATAACGCAGGCTCTGGAGGCGTATTATGATCTCTTAATTGCAGAACTCATTAAGTCCCTTATAAGATCTGATTTCGAATTCGATTCAGTTGAAGTCTGGGTACAATCTTTCAACTAAAAGGTGGTGCCTTCGCATTCCTAGTAAAATTAAAATGTTATTGGAAACTAACCCTTCTAATAAGGCGTTAGCAACTCACATAATTAGTACATTCTTCGACCACGTACCAACTCATATTAGATAGATTATAGCAATTTGCTTCATCATTCATTCAATTGCGACTACGACGTTACAAACTCCTCAACTTAAACTGTAGGACGTTTCTCTAAAATAAAATCTCACTTCCGATTTCGGTAACTGCCATTTTAGACTTTAGATTGATATGCATTACGCCATTATACGGCGAAATGTCTGTAGAAGCAGCCACCCCCTCTAGCATAACCACCGAAACGGGATATGATAAAGCGATATATCGGCATTAACTGTCAGACTACTTGTTTCTTAGGTTTTCACGCACATTACTCATTAAATAAAACTTACGGGTTAATGCACGAAACTTTATGGATTTATTGACGTTTCGCAAAGTTAACTTTATTAACTAAATTAACTAATAAATTTATACATAGATAATAAAATTTTAAAAATCTTCCAATGAAATAACCAAACGCTCAATAAAAGTCTTTCGAAGGTAGCTCGACAAAATTAAATAAAAAATCAGTATTCTGACGATGCAGATCTGGAAAGACTGCGTCAATAAATAAATAAAGTTTCGTGCATTAACCCGTAATAACTAGTTTTATTTATGTCAGACTACTGTCAAACTCCACTGTAGTCTGACAGTTAATGTCGATATATCGCTTT